TTAAAGATTTTATTTTTTCCTTTTTCTCCCCAAAGCCCCCCGGTACATAGTTGTATATTCTTCGCTGTGGGTCCTTCTAGTTGTGGCATGTGGGACGCTGCCTCAGCGTGGTCTGATGAGCAGTGCCATGTCCGCGCCCAGGATTCGAACCAACGAAACACTGGGCCGCCTGCAGCGGAGCGCGCGAACTTAACCACTCGGCCACGGGGCCAGCCCCTCAGGTGCCAATCTTTACAAAAAAAATATATGATTCCATTTTTGAGTAACATAGTGACAAAAATCTCTACATATGTATGCATATATGTATGCAAATGATATATAAGTATATGAATATGGAAAATTGCAGAAGGATACACAGGAGGTGGTTAATGTGTTATCTGGGCAAGGAGAGAGGGCGCGAATATCTTTGTGTTGTTCCATTGTTCCACTTGATACACCAGGCATGTGTTATTTTTGCAATTTGAAAAACATAAAAATTTTTTTAAAAAATGCGGCAGCCTCGAGATCCAACCTTCCTAACACCTTCTGCTTATATGAAAATTCACAGCAAGCTAGTACAGAACTGAGTCTATCCCCAGGGATCTTGGTGAAGAAATTAATAGGTCCTCAATACGAAGCAGTTTACCTAAGTTGTTTTAAATGATTTATTTAAGGCAATTATTTATATAGAGAGTATGTTAGCTAGATAATGTTAGGAAGAACATTGTATTCTTTTTAAGGAATGAATGTTAACTAATGTTTATAAATATTTAAACATGGATATAAAGCAGAAGAATATCACAATAGATATCTTGGAAGAATTATCTGGTATACTAGCATTTATGAAATTAAACAAAATAACCTTTATGAACTGTATTTAATGTTTACTTGTTTAATTCTATTTAGACCATGAATCTTTCATGAGAATGTCTTGTTTGGGAATTAGTCACACCTTGCAAGAATAAATCATTCTCATGTCAACTTGGCTTCATCAAAATTTCATGAAGAAAAAAACTTCAAAATCATGTACAACAATATCACATTATAAATTATATTTGATCCAGACATAATAAAGAATATGAAGAGTGTGAAAAATAAAGAAAAATAAATTAATGCCCTACCTACCTCAGGTGAATGTCTATTTGGCATGGAAAATGTCCAGTGCAGTAACCGGAGAAAAAAGCTAGCGGCTAGCAATGGCAAGACATCATTGTTCCTGCATTAGAAGGTCAAAAAAATTTTCAATGACTATTAAAACTTTTAATAATGATATTATAATAATTTTCAAAGTAAAATTTCAGATTTAAGCATATCCAAATAGTTCATCCAATAATGGCAATATTTTGCTTCCCCCTTGGTTGTGGCCAAATATTGATTTTCTGATACTAGTCATTTGGCATCAGGCCAAAAAGTATTCCATGGACCACTTATTAAAAATATCGCATTCAATAAACAATGATGCTTTACTGCAAATGGCCCTTCAGGAACACTAACATGCATAATAATGATTTGGGGAGATTGTAATAAATGTCATTTCCTCTCTGAATAGCATCCCTCTCCTTCAATACTTGTTCTGAATCAGAAATGGGTATTTTAAACAAGCACACTAAGAGCTTTTTCTGCATGTCCCAGGATGATGTTTTGAGAAACACTGCTGTAATAGAAAACTTGTTTAACCTTAATAATCACCGTTATAGACTGTTAATGTTTGCAAAATAAGGGCCAGGTGTGCAAATGCTACTGTCATATATATACAGCTTGAAAAGAATCATGCCGTAGTTTAGTAAATTTAAAAAACCCCACTAGAATATGACTCAAATCCCTAGACTTGCACCACATTTTTCCTAGTAGTGAAATGTGCCTATTTTTTAAAATGTTTGTACTGGTTTGCAAGGCTGAGGTGGTATAATTTCTTCGTGATGGGAGTATAGCTGGAGTAGCCGGTTGGCACACAGGCATGAAGAGACAATTCAAACTGGAAAGCAGTGAGCAATTACGTTCAAGAACCATGAATCCAATCCTACAATAACTACTCATGGCTTCCAATTCCCTAAATCTATTCTCAGTTAAATGAAAGCAGCCATCTAAGGGATGTTGTGCTGGGAACCAGGACAGGGCTAACATTACAGAAGATTTTAGTTCCAATTCCAAAAGCCTATATTTTCTAATAAAACCACAGATGCAATTAATACATCTCAATCACTTTGTAAATCACTTTTCTGTATTGGTTCTTTCTCTCAATCTTTAGCCAAAACTAGATCTGGGACCAATTCCAGGCCAGGACAAAAATGCAAAATCCCAAACTCCCCATTGTTTGATTATTTTGCCTTGAATTGAAGTGGATACTTGGCAATTAGCTGCTGGGAACCCCAAAATTTTCTGATTCACTCTTTTCATTAATCAAGTTGACCAAGTAATTTCTAAACTTTCAGTCAGCTTTGTTACTAGCCCAGTATGTAGTCTTCCTACCTCAGAGACTATCGACATAAAAAGCGTTCTTAAAATAATCTAGTCTTGCCAACCAGCTTGACAGTGAGGAAGCTGAACTCAGCTTTCCTGGGAAATCGCTCAAAGTCAAACAGCTTGGTTTAGGGGCAGAACTAGGACTCCAGTTTTGGGATTCTGATACTTAGAAAACGAAGCTCTTGGGAGTTCCTTACAAAACACTCCGTGTGAATCATTTAGGATGACCTTTCGCGGAGGAGATGTAAAACAGTGGGATCCTCTGCCCTGACATTTGGCTCCCAAATGAGTGTAGTTCCTACGGGTGGGTAGCAAGAACATTTGAACTTTAGGCAGGCGACCTGGGTTCTAGTGATAGCTCTGACGCTAAAGACCCACATGCCCTTAGTAAAAACGTGTTTAACTTCTTTACAGAAAGGCAACCAGTACAAAGCTGCCGAGTCTGTTGTCCAGTATACTTTGGTCCCTTTCCGTCCCTCACTTGGGAATTATAAACAGGAAAGGAAATAATACGGGGCAAATTACTTAAAACAGCGCCTGGTACATATTAAGGCTCACGGTTACCATTGATCATTATAGCGCCAATCTTGGAGAGGCTGCCCGAGAAACGCGCTAAACCCAGCGCACCCGTTTTGTTTTACTCTGGCCCACGACGGCGCATGCGCGCCCCTGCGTGAAATCGCGCGCCCAGAGCTCTTCCTGCCTAGAGGCAGGCTCCGCCCCTAAGTGCGCGCCCCTTCAAGCGCGGGCACTGTACGTGAAGCGCGCGCTCGCCTGGGCATGACGTAAACAGCGGACAGGCCCGGAAGATAGGGGCGTTTGCTTCCGGGGCCAAAGGTGCTTCACTTCCGGGGGAAGCCGGCATTGCCAATAGCAGGTGGAGCGGGAGGTGTTTGTTGCCCCTTCGTTGCTCCCGTGGCCTCGGTCCGGGTAAGCCAGGCATGAAGATCACGAGGCAGAAACACGCCAAGAAGAATCTCGGCTTCTTCCGCAACAATTTCGGAGTCCGCGAGCCGTACCAGATCCTGCTGGACGGCACCTTCTGTCAGGCGGCCCTGCGGGGCCGCATCCAGCTCCGGGAGCAGCTGCCCCGCTACCTCATGGGGGAGACACAGCTGTGCACCACCAGGTGGGTCCCGGGGGGGAGGGCCGGGAGGCGCGCGGAGTGTCCGGCGGTTGTGGCCGAGGCGAGGCCGCTGCCCACGGGCCTCCATTGGGCGCCCACGAGGGGCCCGGCCCACGAGGGGTTTGACAGTTAAGTGATGGCACTCAGGAGATCAGGGGAGTGTCCACAATGCAGACAGAAAGTACAGTGCCCTAAAAAGGTTCACGTGTCGTTAGCCTGGCGAAGAAGACCGCATGCGTTGTAGTCCGCCATGACTTCGAGTCTTGGTCCCAGTCCTACCAGCTCTGTGATTTGGGGCAAGTTATTAACCTCTCTGAGCCTTGACTTTCAATTTGAAAGTAAGCAGCCTAATTTCATAGAGCTGTTTTGAGATTAAGCAAGAGTTTTTGTAAAGAGCAGTTAGTATACTGGCTAGCACGGAAGCACTTAGTAAATTTTGACTGTTATTGTTCTTTCTACTTGGTGTGTATGCATTTTCAAGGTGTTTTAAGAGTGAAGTGGGTACTCTGATTTGCGGCTATCATATGACAAATGCAGATGGTAATGGTATAGTTTTAGTTAAAAAAATTGAGTATTGTTTTTAATACTTGCTTTGTCTGAATAACTGATATGTATCTATTATAATTGTGAGCTGCTAATAACAGTTTTTTTTTTTTTCAGGTGTGTGTTAAAAGAGTTAGAAACATTGGGAAAGGACTTGTATGGGGCAAAACTGATTGCACAAAAATGCCAGATTCGGAATTGTTCCCATTTGAAGAATGGAGTGAGTGGATCAGAATGTCTGCTTTCCATGGTTGAAGAGGGAAATCCTCATCATTATTTTGTGGCATCACAGGTGATAGTACTTTTAAAACCAGAGTCAATTTTAATCATTTCTAATTATGACTCATATGGAGCTATTTAGAATCAGAAAAAATTAGTGGAAGTGGTTTGTTAAAGTGTTTTGACTTTTTAAAATACAAACTTTTAACGTAATTTGCTGTCAATGAAAGCAGTTTTCGTTAGAGAACTTGAGAAGAGAACCCTTTAAGCATATTGATTTTCTTCTTAATTACTAAAGTTTCCTTTTTTAAAAGAAGAAATTGACATAGAGATGTGATGGAAGGGAAGATAAGTAGAGCAAAGATTTTACATTGTCTTCAAAATCTTTTTTCATGTTCTTGAATTTTATACTGTTTCTCAAAAAGTCATGTGTCATATTTTGAGACTGTACCACCACAATGGAACAGTTTCAGGCTTTTAAAAACACTGACAGGCAGGAGAAGAGAGACTCGGGGTTGATATTAATGAAGAAGTTCACATACATGCAGATTTTCTAAAATATGCTTTCAGAATTAAAATTACATATTTAGAGGCAAAGCTGAATCTAGAATCTTGAGTCAGCTAATTTCTACTTATTTCTATTCCTTCAGTCTCTGTGAGCATTCTTGAGCCTTTTTGAAGCATATCTTGGAGTAGAAACAAGGGACATCACCTAACATATTTACCTTTGCATTAGTTTGTAATTTATGGTCCTAGAATATTGATAAATCCAGTTCACTCTTAACAGTTTGTGCTCAGTTTTTATGTTGCTCTTCCTTTCTGTATCATAAAATATACTCCCATTAGTGAGACTACTGATTTGAAAAACAAAACCTGTGATTGCTTTTATTTTTAATATAACCCTCTTTAAGTTCTTAGAAACTTATTTGTCATCTTAATTTAATTGACATATTTGAACTAAATAATTCTATTTTTCTTTTTAATAGGATCAGAATTTGTCTATGAAAGTAAAGAAAAAGCCTGGAGTTCCTCTCATGTTTATTATTCAGAACACTATAGTCTTGGACAAACCTTCTCCCAAAACAATTGCCTTTGTTAAAGCTGTAGAGTCAGGCCAGCTTGTCTCGGTGCATGAGCAAGAGAGTATCAGGCAACTCAAAGAGGAACAGGGGCTAGTGAAAAACCCTGAACGGAGAAGAAAAAAGCGCAAGAAAATAAGTGGCCCCAATCCTCTTAGCTGTTTGAAGAAAAAGAAGAAAGCACAGGATACCAAGTCATCTGCCTCTGAAAAGAAAAGAAAAAGAAAAAGAATCCGGAACAGATCTACCTCAAAAGTACTTTCTGTAAAGCAGAATGCAGAAGGATAATGAATCCTTCAAATACTTTTAAAGACATTCAAATGTAGAAAATAAGTTTTTTTTTAAAGCTGTGGAAGTATTGAGGATAAAAGACTAAACTTATTTTTGTAAATAAATATTGACCCAGAAGCCTTTGCCTAAAATTATTTGTAAAACACAAAAACCAGAACAGAGTGGATGGGTTTTGATGTGACAGTGTTCAGTTTTCTTACTCAGTGATTTTGGAGGTTGTTCTCAATGTAAAACTGTTGTCTGTTTCTCACTGCAGCCTATCACCCCCTATTAAATGCAAATAGTTAAAAAAATCTAATAGTTCCCAAAGGCTTGTAACAAAAAAGAGGTAGTCCCTCTTTCACATTCATAGCAGAAACTTCCTCTTTCAATTCATGTAGTAGTTGTAGAATTTACCTTTATGTTTTCAGATAATATGAATATGCTGCTACCTTTTGATCCATCCATTATTTATTGACTTAATACCAGAAAGAATGGGGGTTTCACTTGCTTGTATTATTCCCTCATTTTTAATATATCAGTCTTTATACATCCCAAATTTAGTATCTTTGTTACTTTGACTATAAATTTTGTTAACCACTGAACTGAGTAACATGATATGATTGAATTTATTTCTTATACGACTTCTTTGTTATTCTGGAAGTTAATAATGGTCTCTTTTTCTTTTAGTGTCTGACTTGATCTTGTCACATTCTCCAGTAACTCTGTAAAGAGCCTCATAATATAATTTTCCATATGATGGTATCAGGTCATTTCTTACCCCTGGAGATACTTTTCCTAGAGCCTTCCGTCCTCCAGTGTGGAAAGGTTTTCTGCTGAGCCTGTTGCTCAGCTATTACCCAGGCACTTCTTGTGCTTATCCAGAGATCTCCTTTGTCACTTCTGTTTCCTAGAGTCTTTGTTTTACTTTCTTGTTTTTCTCTTTTGCTGTAGTGAAGCATAGAGTGTGGATGAAGTCCATTTTTCGAGGCCCAGCCAGTGTGTCTACCTTAATATTTGTTGCGCTGATAATCTGGCAAGATGAAGAATTCTTGGTTGAAAGTAATTTCTCTCTTTCCCTGGAGAACCTCTTAATTGTTTATAAGGTCCTAGGAAAAAAAAAATTCCTTCACTTGTTTTGAGTTCCACTTGTCCAAAAGAGGATGGTTTTTTTTTCAAACGTAGCTGTTAACTTTAATATCAAAAATTCCAAAATAGGGGGCTGGCCTGGTGGCATAGCAGTTAAGTTCACGTGCTCAGCTTTGGCAGTGCATGGTTCATGGGTTTGGATCCTGGGCTCAGACCTACACACTGCTCATCAAGCCATTCTGTGGCAGCGTCCCACTTAGAAAATAGAGGAAGATTGGTATAGAGGTTAGCTCAGGAACAATCCTACTGAAGCAAAAAGAGGAAGATTGGCAATAGGTGTTGCCTCGGGGCCAATCTTCCTCACACAGAAAATTCCAAAATAATAGTCCAAGGTTGGCTATGAATCTGTTATTTAAAAAGTGTGTAACTAATGTGAATGTGCTATTTAAAAAGTAAAGTGTTTAAAAAGTGGGTAAATTAGAAATTGAATAATCAAACATCTTTTTCAGTACCTTCCCTGTTTTAATCATCAGGCCAAAATTACAGTATTTTTGCACTATAAGGTTAAAGTATAACGTTGTTAATCTGATGAGTAGTTCCTGGCTGAGCTGCCTGTGACACCTTGGAGCAGTGGTTCTTAACCTGTTATGTTAGAGTATCATGATCAGGTATGAAGTATGTCATGAACAAATTCTTATTAATGGCTAAAATAAATGACTTTTCTTAAATTTGAGACAATTCAAATATTCCTACAGAAATGTCATTCTCAGTTGAATTCAGAGATGCTCTTTTGGTGGAAAGTGGAATTATAGCTTTACCTACACTGGGAATACAGGCTGTGTTATCTGGCAAGCCAGGCTAGTGTTTGGATTGTCATTTCATTAATCTGTTTTAAATTCTGAACAGGAATATTTGTAAAAAGGAAGGCAAAGGTACAGTCATACATCGTTTAACAACTGGGATATGTTCTGAGAAAGGAATCATGAGGTGATTTTGTTGTGTGAACGTCATAGTGTTTGCTTACATAAACCTACATGGTACAGCCTACTGTACACCTGGGCAAATGATTCTAAGCTTATGAGACTGCTGTCCTATATGCAGTTCATTGTTGACTGAAATGTCCTTAGGCGGTGCATGACTATTAGAAAATAGTGAACATAGTTCCGTAGTTCCTGTGAAGAAAGATAACATTTGTCAGTAATGACAAGAGTTAGGATGACCAAATCAAATGTAGACAAACTAAAGCAGGTGAAATGTACACTGATGATATTCATTTCAAAAATGCATAAATTTTAGATCTTCCTCTTTTTAACAAAGCGTATTGTGATATTGTGGTTTATAATAAGAAATGTGTATTTGTTCACAGTTCCTGGCTCACGGCTCCAAAACCATTGGGATTTCCTAAGTGATGAGAGCTTAAAGATGTCTCATGTTAAGTAGGCGACTTTTGGAAAGCACCTACATGAGGCCTGGTGGTTATTGGAGGCAACCATGTGGTTAGAGAGTTGGAACTTTCAGTCCGTGCTCCCCCCCACCCGTCTCTGGGGAGGGGAGAAGAGCAGGAGAATGGCCAATGACTTAATCAATCATGTGTATGTAATGAAGCCTCCATAAAAACCCAAAAGGATGGGGTTTGGAGAGCTGCTGGGTTGGTGGCAAACCTGGAGAGGGCATGGAAGTTCTGTGTTCTTCCTCCATTCCTTGCCCTATGCATCTCTCCCATCTGTCTGGTACTGAGTTATATCCTTTTATAATAAACTAGTAATCTAGTGAGTAAAATGTTTCTTTAAGTTCTGTGAGCCATTCTTACAAATTGATTGAACCAAGGAGAGAGTCACTAGTGATTTATAGCCACCCATCAGAAGCAGAGGTAACAGCCTGGGCTTGTGACTGGCATCTGAAATGGGGGGAAGGGATCAGTCTTGTAGGACTGAACACTTAACCTGTGGACTCTGATGCTATCTCCAGGTAGACAGCGTCACAACTAAGTCAAATTGTAGGACACCTAGCTGTCGTCAGAGCACTGTGTGTGTGGACCCTCCCTCCCCGACCCCCCACTTTGAAATTAGCTCCAGGAACTCAAAATACTTATTTATATTTATTCAGTGCTATCTAATTGCCTGTTAACAGTGTCTAAACTGGATAGCTGCAAAAGTCAACTATTTTTATAAAAGTAATTTTTAAATTAAAATATTAAAAATATATTACAAAGTTATCTTAAAACTTTGATTAGTCATTTATATATCTTCCTAGTAAAGTTGCTTTAAAAGATATAACAAAGGATCTCCTGTCTTTGAGAGTATGCACATGTGATCATAATCCATTTTGTGCTTTGGGAAAAAAAGTGTTGAGAACCTCTGCTATAAAGGGTGGCTACTAGCTTTGTTGGGGATAAAAGTGGAATACATGTGCTTTTGAACTCTTTGAAGTTTGCCAGACTGATAGTGTTTCTGAAAACCACTATCTTTTATGAACACTTCAAAATAAAGTGTAGTTGAGTTTGGGCAGGATTCTGTATTCCCTATGTTTTCAAAGCACTGCAGCCGCTTCTCACCCCAACAAGTATGTAAATTAAAACTAGAAGTCGTTTCAGAAGTAAAAAGATTTCCTGTCTTCTATTTACTCATAGATTGTATTTTATGTCTCTGCATCTAAGTAAGGCAAGATGGCTGTGATCTGACAGGTTTGGGTTTTTTTTTTTTTTTTCATTTTCAGGAAGATCAGCCCTGAGCTAACATCTGCCAATCCTCCTCTTTTCACTGAGGAAGACTGGCCCTGAGCTAACATCCATGCCCATCTTCCTCTACTTTATATGTGGGACGGCTACCACAGCATGGTTTGCCAAGCGGTGCCATGTCCGCACCTGGGATCCGAACCGGCTAACTCTGGGCCACCTAAGCTGAACGTGTGCACTTAACCGCTGTGCCACTGCGCCGGCCTCTCACAGGTTTAATTAGTAGTTTTTCACAGGTGGGAGAAGGAATAGTGTGTATTCTTTAAAATGTTTTAAAAATATGTCATTTAATTGTACGATAGATTTTCTTAAGTATTCTTAGTTTAGGTGTAAGTAAAAAAAATGTAGTGATATAACTCCATGTGTATATGTTTATGTAGTTTGAGATCCAGAACTAATTAGGAATAAAGGCAAAAGATTAGGTGTCTGGACTGAGTTTAGGAACTAATTTCTCATATGATCTTAGATTGATGGCCTGCGAATATTTAATCATACGTCCTTGCCAGTAAAAAAACTTTTGTGTATACTTGTATGTATAAACTATATAGATTTACTATTGTACATTAAAAAATATACACATAAAAAATGTAAACAATGGTAAAGATAAGTTGTTTAAAAATCTTTACCTTTAGATGGCTTCATTAGCTAATATTTTGAGACATAGGGTTTATCAATAATGTTGCATATTAATCTGCTTGAAGTAGTTTTTATAGTTACATTTTTCATCAGCAATGACTACATCATTGGTTTTCCTTTGTAATATTAAGGACAAGGAGCATACTAGGAGTAGCATGTATCAAGACATATTAGTTGAATAAATCAAAATAATGTCAGTTCTACCACAAAGGAGAGTCATAACCTCTCCTCCAGTTTCTAAACCTAAACCCATTCACAGGCCTAGTTCCCCTTAGTTTAAGGGGAGGCTGGGTCCTTTTGAGGAAGGACCCTGAAGCAATGCCACAAACTTTCCTCTATGCCTTCCCCAAAGGGACGTGTGGCCATTTTCTAGAGTGAATGTGCACTGGGGAATAGAAATATCCAGATCTTTTCAGCATTACTTAGACACTGGCTCTGAATTAATGCTAATTGCTAGGGACCCAAAATGCTGCTGGTCCAACATTCAACGTTGGGGTTAATGGTGGACAGGTGATAAAATGAGTTATAGGCCAAGTTTAACTCACAGTAGGCTCAGTAGGTCCATTAGCCCACCTTGTGTTTTCTTCCCACTTCCGGAATGCATAATTGTTAAAGACATAGTAGGCAACCGATTGTGTCCCCATCTTAGCTCTCTCATGTATGCACTAAGGGTCATTAGGGTATGAAGGGTCAAGGGGAAGCTGTTGGAACTTCACCTCCCTACCAGGATAGTAAACCAAAAGGATAGGACTTTGTTGGAGGAATTATAGAGATAACTACCATCATTAACTACTTGAATGATGCAGAAGTGTTGATTACTATTACGTCTCCGTTTAACTCATCTATTTGGTCTGTGCAGAAGGCAGTTGGATCTTGAAGCATGACTGTAGCTTATTTTAATCTTAATCAGAGGGTGACTCATTTGCAGCAGCTCTTTCAGATGTAATATCTTTGCTGGAACAAATCGACACAGCTCCTGGCAACTGATATGGACTTTTTTTCTCCCCCAATTTTTAACAATTTGCTGGGACCAACTAAAGCAGTTTGCCTTTCCTTGACAGGGTCAATAGTACACCTTTGCAGTCCTGCTTCATGCTAAGGCAGCTCATCTGGTCTCAGCCATATTATAGACTACAGAGATCTTGA